GGAGAGGGGCCATCACAGGGGGGGCCCATCCCTCCTGTCAGACAGCTGGGGGTGGGGCTGGGTCTCCTCCACAGCCACCCCCCCATTGCTCAGGCCAGAGCTTCTCTACCCAGGGTGTCTGGGGGTGGCCCCGGAGGTGTGTGTGAGGTGTAAGTGTCTATGGGCCTTTCTGGGGAGGAAGCTGGGGCTTTGAGCACATCTCCCAGGGGTGCCTAAGATCAGCACAGCCCTTCCCATGCCTCTGCCCACCACGGGGCCCCAGCTATCCCCCTGCCTGGTCACAGGCACAGGGAAGCCTGGTGCTGCCCCTAAGTGAGGAGAGGGAAATGTGCTCACACCGTCCTGAGTGGCTTCTGGGGCTGTGGGGCCATTCAGGGGCGGGCACAGCTTTTTCACCTGTCAGAGCCTCAGTTTTCCAATCTGTAGAATAGGGTGATCAGACATGTCTTGTGGGGATTGCGACACAATTCAAGGAGATGTCCAAGAGCTTCTCCCCCAGAGACCTCACCCACCGGTCTACTAGGTCCAGCAAAACCCGGCTCAGGGTCCCCAAAGAGTCTGGCTGTGCAAATGCAGAATAAACCGAATGTCTCCAAACGCCGTCTGCTGTGTCTTCATTCCCAGGGCAGACCTGCTCCGCGAGCCCAGTGATCTCCCTTTCTGCCCAGCCCCATGTCCCCGCCTGCGGGAAGCCTTCCCTGATGCTCTCTGCCTGGTTTAGCTGCCTGCTGTTTCTCTCCTGTGGTATTGTCATCATCGGTCTCCCCCATACACCACGAGCCCCCTGGGGATGCCATGGGGCGTGACCCCGTTGTGCCTCGTGTCCGCACAGAACTGGCGCACAGCAGGTCTCAAACTTTTGCTTTTCACCTGAGGCCTGGCCAGGTGGAGCCCAGCGGTTGCACTCGGATGAGTCCTGTGGAACAGGAGGAGAGGCGCCTCGCCGGGGTGGACAGGGACCTGAGCGGGTGCTCTTTTCCAAGAGGCCACACCTGAGTTCTTAGGTAAATGTCGCAGGCCCTGACCATTGCCCCAGGACAGCAGCTGTGCCAGGCCAGGGTTTCCAGACCCCTCAGTGCTGGTGCACCTTGGCTGGGCAAGGCCCGCCGGTCAGCCCTGTGAGGACAGCAAAGGGCTGGTGACCATGCTGCCACACTGACCTGAGGGCCCAGATGTGGCCACAGGAAGGCAGCTCTTGTGTCTTGATTCCAAAACACAGATGTCCAGTGATTGACGGGATTGCAGACTGGTGGGTTGTGCAAAAACCGGTCGGCAGGGCTGGCCCACGGTACCCAGGATGGGCCCGTAGGCTGTCGGTCTGTTAGCAGTGTCCCTCTCTGTGACAGAGGGAGCTGCAGCCCCTCCTCTGGCCTGGTCTGGGAACACCTCCCGACAATTGTGTGACGGGTCAGTTTCCTGAGATGTCATTGCTTACACATGTCTGGCCTGTGTGAGGCCAGGAGGTGATGCCACATCTCCCAGGTGACCCATCCATGCAGCACTGAGATGCTATCCAGGGCCCCCCAGCAGAGCTCACCTACCTTCCCCCAACCCAAGCTACCTGTGGTGGGCAGGTGGATGGGGTCCCCACATGCCCCTTCTCTCTGTCCGCCCCACCCCAATCCTGGGAACCAGCTGCAACTGCAGGGAAGCTCAGCCAGTGCGCCTTGTGTGTCTGTCATCCGAGGACAGTGACCACTGGCCACCTATGGAGGGCTTCCCACGTGGCCCAGCTGGGCACTGCCCCAAGAGCACTGCTGGACCTCACTCCTCGCCCTCCACAACCACCATGGGAAAGATGCCACTATCATCCCATTTCACAGAGGCAGAGGCAGAGACCAGAGAGGTGCAGTAACTGGCCCAAGGTCACGCAGCCAGCAGGCAGCAGAGTTAAGAGTCTAGCCCTGTGCTTCTGACCCTCACGTCCACCACACCCAACAGGCTGGAGTCCAAGTCCTGACTGTCACCGTGGCCTCTGCCTCAGTTTTCTCATTCCTAAAATTCCTAAAGGAGTCCTCCCACCTCAGGAGGGCGGTCCTCACCCGGAGGGTGACGGAGTGTGGGAGAGGCCAGCTCCACGCAGGCCCGGGGGTCAGGCAGGGGCGTTTATTTTTTATTCCTCACTTGAGGATATTCTCCCCATTGTTTTTCAGTGGAAGGGAGAGAGCGAGAGAAACATCGATGTGAGAGAGACACATCCATTGGTTGCCTCCCGTAGGCACCCAGACCAGGGCCAGAGAACAAGCCAGCAACTGAGGTGCGTGGCTTTGGCCGGAATCGAACCGGGGACCCTTCAGTCCACAGGCCAACTCTCTAACCACTGAGTCAAACTGGCCAGGGCAGGGAGGGGCTTTTAAAGTCCCCTCCTGCCGTCAGTCAGACATCTGTCTGTCTTTCCACGCCCTTCGCCCGCCTCTTCAAATGCTCGCCCTATTTTCCTCTCGCATATCTTCCTCTTAACACACTGGGATTTGGGGTCTGATGTGGCCAGTTTACTTTCCTGGAGCAGTGAGTGCCTACCGCCCCCCAGCAACATCTGTCTTCCCCCCACCCCCATGACGGTCACTGTCAGAAGCAGCACCGCAGGGTCCCTGGATCGGACTCCTCCAGCCCCTGGGTCCCATCCCACCTCCCCACCCCACCGCTGTCCCCCCTGCCCCCCAACTCAGGAGCTCTGGTCTAGGCCGCCCCTGACTCCAGGTGCCATTCTTTTGGCTCCACTCCCAGAGAGGGTGTCACAGGGCTGGTGAGGAAGGGACGTTGCAGGACTTGCAACTGTCTCTGGCCCAGAGAGGGGCGGCCTCCTACCTGGGCCCCAAGCTCAGCTTAGGCTGCACTTAGCATTTGGCTCCCACACAAGGGAAGGGCGGAAAGAGCCACATCCCAGCACTCGGGGGCCTCGGCCGAGCCCCTTCTCTTCTCTGACTGAAGGTTCCTGGGATTTCCCTGGAAAGTGGCATCCACGACACTCTGGTGCTTGGTCACGGCCCAGGGGCCCACAGGCGTGCAGTGAGTGGGGAAGGTCAGCCTGGCCGGGGAGTCCAGCACAGCCACCGGCTCTCGCCCGGCTCGGGGCCGCCAGGCAGCCCCGGTCAAGTGTTTGCTCGCTGACTGTGGGAAGGAGTGTGAGGAACACAGGCCTCGGCCCAGAGGCCTGTCCCCGGAGCAACACAGGCGGGCCCGTCGCAGCTGCCTCAGGCCCCTGCGCTCTGCAGCCAAGCACAGCGGCAACCGGGCGAGTTTGCAGGGAGGTCAGAGCCCGCGGAGGAGGAACAGGCTGTGGGAACCGAAAACCGCGACGCTGCGCGTTCCTCCGGATCCCTCGGGGAAAAGACCACAGGTCGCCCCACTGGAGGCCTAGGCTCCAGGCCTGACGCCCCAGGACCGGACCAGCTCTCCTCTGCACCTCAGTTTCCCTTCTGCAACCAAAGGTAAACTAGATGGGGACAGAGCACAAACACCCACGGGACTCGGGGCTCGGGGCCAACCGACGGCTGGACCTAGGCCCTCCCGGCAGGCACCCTATCGGCCCAGCGCCCTGGGAGACTGGCTCGCTGACTCCCCTCCCTCCGATTTCCGCAGCGGTCAGAACCCCAGGCTGTTCATGCGAGATGTCAAATTCCTAATGGCTGACACCCTGGTTTTAAAGTCTTCTTCTGGCCAAACCAAATAAGCCTGGAGACTGGGCCTGGCCTTCGGGCCAGCAGCAGGGGAACTCCAGGCCAGGGAATCTCCTGCGGGAAATAACACAATTTCCCGCCCCTGACAACCGTCTGAAGGCTCAGAAGCCCGAACATTTCTTTCTGGTTCTCGCCAAGCCCAGGAAGGGACGGGGAGGGCTCTGCCCCGATCGGGAGGGGACTGGGTATCAGGGAGCCATTTATTTAGGACAATGGGAGTAACACGGGGGAAAGTTTCACCACTCCCAAACCAGTTCCTCAGGTTGACCCTCCCACGGGCAGGGACCAGATTAGGAAACCACAGGGCAGAAGAGGGAGAGAGGCCCTTCCACGGGCTATTTAAATGTCACCAATGTCCGTGGAGATGAAGAGAAGGCGTGTGCATTGCCCAAAGCCAGGTCGGCCAGTCCCGATGGACCCCACAGCCAATGGTGACTCCACAGCCACCGAAAGGGTTGGGGCATCCGGCAGAGTGGGAAAGACACAGCCGAGTCCTGGGCCGGCTGTCGGGGATTTAGGTTTAGAAGACTCTGGATGTGATCTAATGGAGAGAGCAGGGCAGGGGCCACAGGCAGCCCTTGGAATCCTGTCCCAGGCACGCACGGCTCTAGCTCCATCTGCCCACACATCCTGCCCCCAGCCCAGCCCACAGGGGGCCCAGGGCAGGGAAGGGTGGGCCTGCTCCGCCTCCTGCTGATCCTGCACCCACACAGGGAGAAACAGCCCCGGTCGCTCTCCAGGAAGACAGCACCGCACCTCCAGGAGGTGGGGGGCCGGCCGGGAGTCTCGGGGGAGATGGGCCTCACACCCGGCTGCTGCTGGCTGGACACGCACGGCTGGGGACCTTCCTGGGCAGGGGACCTGCTGTGGTGACGGAGACGTGCCCAGGCCTTCCATGCATGTTCCTTAGTGATCGCAAAGCCCTGGTCCCTCACCTTGTTCCCCCTGCTGAGCCCCTCCAGGCCCTGTTGGGTGACATTCCTGTCACTAAGAGGAGGTGGGGGCCGGCCAGGAGGAGGGAGGAGGGGACTGCTACAAACTCGCCGGGCAACTTGGAGCAAGTGGCTGGATCTTCCTGGGCCCGTTCCCCCACCTAGTTTAGGGGGCCCTGTCAACCCTCGTTTTACAGCCAAGAAGCAGGGCTCCGGTCCACACTGGGAGACAAAGGCAGTGAAACCGAGTGTGACAGAGGGACATCTCAGCGACACGTGCTCAGGCCAGGATCTCCTAGGCTACAGACAGAGCTCGCCAATCCTCCCTGCTCTGGATGCTTGGCCGTCAG